AGCACATAACCGCCATCCCACCAAATATATTTCTGTCTGAAATAGTCAAAAAGCAGTAACTCGGATAATATTCTTCGACAAATAATTTTTCAACGAGTGCTAACAACATCAAGAATAAATAGCCAGCTACCATAAAATCACGAAATATTTTCATCCAAAATCCGAGTATCGCCGAGTCCGTTTGTCCAAGATCTTTTTGTCTTAATCTTTCAAACATGAATGTCGTAGAAAGATATAATGTCACAATAGCGAATATAGTAAAACTGACCACAGACGCTAACCAAAATATATTTTCATTTTCTTCATCGCCACCGGACATTGTTTGAGAAACGTTGGAGTCATATGAAAAATATTGCCAAGTAGAATTCTCAAATGTTTGTGCCATTTCACTTCTACCAGAACTCACTGTTAGGGTCCAGTTCAAATAACTTGTGGACTAACTAATTTATTTTGATGAAGTATATTCCTCAAAACTAATGATTGACGATTACCTCCGATGCAAATGGAATGGGACATTAGCAAAGATCACAGTAATCATTCTGAAAACTCTATAATTATGGATATTTTGGCCCATAATGTTTGCGCCATTTCACTTCTACCAGAACTCACTGTTAGGGTTCAGTTCAAATCACTTGTAGACTAACTAATTTATTTTGATAAAGTATAATCCTCAAAAGTGATGATTGGCGATTAACTCCGATGCAAATGGAATGGGACATTAGCAAAGATCACAGTAATCATTCTGAAAACTCTATAATTATGGATATTTTGGTCCATAATGTTTGTGCCATTTCACTTCTACCAGAACTCACTGTTAGGGTTCAGTTCAAATCACTTGTGGACTAACTAATTTATTTTGATAAAGTATAATCATCAAAACTGATGATTGGCGATTAACTCCGATGCAAATGGAATGGGACATTAGCAAAGATCACAGTAATCATTCTGAAAACTCTATAATTATGGATATTTCGGTCCATCAAACGTAAGTAAATGGCTATCTATAGCTGCAAGTAGATCGATAGTGAGTAGGAAACAACTGAGCAAATAAACGTACCTTCTTAACTTTTCCTTTGGTTAATACCAAGCATATTGATGACGACCACCGATACCCTTTATCCAGTGGTAGGATTCAAATTTTTGTCAGCCGGTTTCATCACAAAAATCATATTTTTCAACCGGTTGTTTCAAACAGAACATTGACAGTAACCAGTAAAGCTAACCGGTTCGCTGATCTCATAAAATTCCGTGAGACGGTTCTACAAGAAACCTACCGGTGTCGGAATTTCACACTTCCAATTGTGATTAAATCAGTCAAAACTTCCCGCTAAAAGTAATAGTTTAATTGCCATAATACACTGACCATAAGAGCACTGTCAATAAATTTCTAAGATTGGGTTTTTGAGTGTAGGTAATAAAGCACTACTCGATACACAGATTAGACGCGTCGGCTTATAACGCACATGATAGATTTTCGAAAAGAAAATAATAATAATATTTAAGAGCGCTTTATGGTCCGGAAGACACGGTTAGAATTTTTTTAGTTTGTATGCACCGGAGCCATCGTCATCGTTTTCTCGGAGGCGATTCTATTTTATGGACGGATTATCAGTGTTTCGTAACCCAGAATCAAACCAAATCTTTTTTTAACCGGCAGTCGATTGTATCGCATACTTTGCTCTCAACTGCTACACACATCCATAAGCAAACTCCAGAAAATCATTGAAACATATTTTATTGATATATCTGTACAAAGACTTTTTTCAATTCCAAAGGACAGTGGAATGAAGGTGAAAGTCAGAGAAAACAAATGAAACATTGATATTACGAAACACGTATGTAGCCTGCGTTAGAGGTATGCAGACTCTTATTGTTGAAAGTGTAATATAAGGGGGAAAGAAGCTACAGAAGAGCAATCATCTTAAAACTAATTTTCGTGGTGATTTAACTATTTTACATTCAACCAAATCAAAATGGCTACGGCATAATTCTATCGGCCTTACCCTCCCATGAAATAAATATAAAAATCCTATCCTATCTTTCAATTTTTCTAATCCCGGGATTGCTAAGTAAAAATCCCAACCGCTCACATCAAATGTCGGTCACGTTATTACATATCAAAGAACAGATGGATAAATAGTTTATTTTGGAAACTCCGGAATACATACAAATTGAAAATGACAAATTCCGAAGAACGAGAAGCATGAGAAATATCTCGCCAACACGCACACAAAGAATTGAATAAAAAAACACAAGCCTAGATAAACAAGGAATCGACGAGAATGTGACAAAGATATATTCAAGACGGGAGAAAACTATACTGTTTAGGCATTGCTGAAAAGGTGATATAAGTGGATTGAACAATTGTTAGGGAAAACACCAATGAAACCTTAACAGGTCCGCGTAATTGATGAGGTTAACTTGCTTAAAAACAGAACGCGCACACAACAAAAGCAAAAATGCGCCAAAACGAATGTTTGAAGGCGTTTTGCATTGGCTCAATACCATAATTATCATGTTACATGTCAATTCCACTCTCTTCTTCTAATTCTGGTTGAAAATATTTAGACACTAATATTTTGTCATATTGTCTTTTTAACACCATTTGGTTAGGGTTCCTTATTGATATTGCTTCAGTACTGGTTCTTTGTTATCCTTTCAGTCCTTCTGCATAGCCTAAAACACGACCAAATGCGACAACCACAAGCACTGTACTATGAATGGTTCTGCAAAATTGTTGTTGTAAAATTATAACTTTGTTTCGCAACTAACTAGTTGAATGCTCTTTTCCATGTAACTGCAATTTAGCTTTTTTCTGCAAGTCTAATAAAATACAATAACGATGTCCAATATGTGTTCCTCTGTACATATCAGAATATTCAAATATATACGACTATCAAGTTCGTAGTTATTCTGTCCCTATATATATATATTAGTTTTCTCCATTCGCTGCAGGTTGTTTTGAACAGAATGGAAAGAGAGAACTTTTCCAATCCGGAAAGGAATAAATTACGGATAGAATATTTACAAAGCTTCTAGCTAGTAGCACCACAAGTATGGATCCGTATTTTGACTTGAAGTAAGCTCCCATGACCATCAACACAATACTGCCCCCAGTCCATATGCAAGTCGCCACGAACGCCCTATGCAGAACAGGCTTCAGATTATTAGCTGCCTCGCCAACAGTTGATCGATGCTTATATAGAGGAGCTAGGAACAAGTAGAGCAACACGAATTGTTCGAATATTGAAGTTATACTTGCTCCAATAAACAACTTGTCAACTCTAAATCGGGCCCCAACGATTCCACAACCACGCGGAGTCATTCCGAAACGATTCCCAACAAAGTTAAGGATGACTACCGTGCTAGGATGCAAAATGGCTAACAAAAATACTGAAATGCTTAAAACCTGTGTAGTCTTTGTTGTCAAATGTTCCATCAATTTGTTTCTATATAAAACTCTCTGACGCAAAGATAGGACGAGAAAACAGCACATAACCGCCATCCCACCAAATATATTTCTGCCTGAAATAGTCAAAAAGCAGTAACTCGGATAATATTCTTCGACAATTAATTTTTCAACGAGTGCTAACAACATCAAGAATAAATAGCCAGCTACCATAAAATCACGAAATATTTTCATCCAAAATCCGAGTTTCGCCGAGTCCGTTTGTCCAAGACCTTTTTGTCTTAATCTTTCAAACATGAATGTCGCAGAAAGATATAATGTCACAATAGCGAATATAGTAAAACTGACCACAGACGCCAACCAAAATATATTTTCATTTTCTTCATCGCCACCGGATATTGTTTGAGAAACGTTGGAGTCATATGAAAAATATTGCCAAGTAGAATTCTCAAATGTTTGTGCCATTTCACTTCTACCAGAACTCACTGTTACGGTCCAGTTCAACTCACTTGTGGACTAACTAATTTATTTTGATGAAGTATATTCCTCAAAACTAATGATTGACGATTAACTCCGATGCAAATGGAATGGGACATTAGCAAAGATCACAGTAATCTTTCTGAAAACTCTATAATTATGGATATTTTGGTCCATAATGTTTGTGCCATTTCACTTCTACCAGAACTCACTGTTAGGGTTCAGTTCAAATCACTTGTGGACTAACTAATTTATTTTGATAAAGTATAATCCTCAAAACTGATGATTGGCGATTAACTCCGATGCAAATGGAATGGGACATTAGCAAAGATCACAGTAATCATTCTGAAAACTCTATAATTATGGATATTTCGGTCCATCAAACGTAAGTAAATGGCTATCGATAGCTGCAAGTAGATCGATAGTGAGTAGGAAACAACTGAGCAAATAAACGTACCTCCTTAACTTTTCCTTTGGTTAATACCAAGCATATTGATGACGACCACCGATACCCTTTATCCAGTGGTAGAATTCAAATTTTTGTCAGCCGGTTTCATCACAAAAATCATATTTTTCAACCGGTTGTTACAAACAGAACATTGACAGTAACCAGTAAAGCTAACCGGTTCGCTGATCTCATAAAATTCCGTGAGACGGTTCTATAAGAAACCTACCGGTGTCGGAATTTCACACTTCCAATTGTGCTTAAATCAGTCAAAACTTCCCGCTAAAAGTAATAGTTTAATTGCCATAATACACTGACCATAAGAGCACTGTCAATAAATTTCTTAGATTGGGTTTTTGAGTGTAGGCAATAAAGCTCTACTCGATACACAGATTAGACGCGTCGGCTCATAACGCACATGATAGATTTTTGAAAAGAAAATAATAGTATTTAAGAGCGCTTTATGGTCCGGAAGACACGGTTAGCATTTTTTTAGTTTGTATGCACCGGAGCGATCGTCATCGTTTTCTCGGAGGCGATTCTATTTTATGGACGGATTATCAAGGTTTCGTAACCCAGAATCAATCCAAATCTTTTTTGAACAGGCAGTCAATTGTACCGCATACTTTGCTCTCACCTGCTACACACATCCATAAGCAAACTCCAGAAAATCATTGAAACATATTTTATTGATATATCTGTACAAAGACTTTTTTCAATTCCAAAGGACAGTGGAATGAAGGTGAAAGTCAGAAAACAAATGAAACATTGACCTGTCTATCACGAAGCACGAATGTAGTGAAAGTGTAATATAAGACAGAAAAGAAGCAACAGGAGAACAATTATCTTAAAACTAATTTTCGTGAATAATTCAACCCAATCAAAAACCACATCTACTTTTATGTTGAAACACTTCAATTCACGATTATTGATAACTTCTATATCATTATGCAAATGATCGTAAATTTATCGTTTCAAGGGCAGAATAAATTCTATCTATTTGTTTCTAATATTATTCTGTCGAGCGGTAACACTGAAAAAGGTTATTGATATATACAATATTGGACGGCAGCATTAACAAAGATAAAAAATCATGTATGTCTATCTAGTCAGCAAATTGAGCAAGGCAGACCTCCCAAAGTATGTGAAAGACATAAGCAGCCATATAAAAATAGAAGACCTCAGTAAAACATCTGGATTAAATAATAATGAAACAGAGCACTGATCTCTTACTTTCAACTGAGAAATTGTAATGTTATTATATTTCAAATGATTTGTTCCATTTAGTTTGTGTAAATAAGTCCTGCTGACAAAATTTTAAAGAAGCATACAGCCTTGTCTTTTTATCCATCTAGTTAAATGATGTGAATATGTAAGTTCAGAGCAATATACATAGCACAAATGGCATTGTTATAGTGTGATTAGAACAGAATAAAGATTATGCAAATAACACCAATCACTGTGGCAGTAATTTGTTCACCAGGATAATAATAGGCCATGCAAATTTTAAAAAATCAATTATTGAATTCGAGTAAACAACTTTTGATTAGGTGAGATTAATGGTTACAAATGGGCTTAGTGTTGCTAGGAAACAAAATTGGCCCACACTTGGTCAAGTGCATGTAATGACCTGCAGAATGTTTTTATTTGAAAGGTTTCAGAGCATCCATATCCCATGCACGAACATCGACAAGAGCTTGATTTAATGATTCAATCCAAGCTATTCTTTCTTCTTTTGTGTCAGCAGACAACCAATGCCTGTTGAATGAGAAATAGAAAAATTTTAAGTTCTATAAGTCGCAGATATAGAATTGTGACATACGTAAACAAAAGAATGCTCAAATATATGAACAGGAACGACAAAACGAAGTACCGTATTTCCCGGCGAATAAGTCGCTTCTCTAGGCCCAAATTTTTGGCCTGATTTTGGGGGGGTCGTCTTATTAGGCAAGTATGATAATTTTCAATTATATACGGTAATATCAATTTTTTCACAGTATCGGTTGTCAACCTCATTAAAAAATTTTCATTCTTCATCAGTCTTCACTGAGCACAAGATCGCTAATACGCGAGCCCAACTACCACATGGTGTGCAATTTTTAATTTTGACGACGTCTTTACATAAAACTTCAAAGTGCAAAACGAATCCCATAGAGCCCACAAATGTTTTTATATAAACAAAAGTAATAGCATTTTCGCGACAACAACAATCTTAAAAGCAATTGGTCAAGTAGTTGAAGAGTAAAGCGATTTTTCACAACAGCAACAACAATAGGAAGAAGAACACTAACAACGACATAATAACAAAATAATCCATACTTCGTGTCATCTTGATAGAGGTTAGGATTGATTTTGTTCAGGAGGAATATTCCGTGTAAGAAATTCTCCATAGGTAAAACTTCCAGAGGGTGGAATTTTCATGGGTGCGATCTTACAGTTGCTTTCATTATATATTATCTTACCCAGCTTCACTAATATTGCGTAACCGTAACACCTTTTATGGTTTTGTACAATACAAAAAATGCAAAACTTGAAAACGTCCGAACGGAGCATTTTTTTGTTGCATTACTACTATGATTTAGTGCCTTGTAACAAAGGTTTGACGGCTTACTTTGTAGTTATGACTGATCCAGTGTCCTCCGATATTAGGTTTTGTCTATCCCCTTGACGACGAGGCCTCATTGTACGAAGTTCGAAGGTGTTAGGTCGAGCACATAAAATGCGTTCTACTGTTGTTATGTCACGGCTGATACATTCACGAAGCGCGAGGGACATCAGCGGCTTCTAAAATAAAAAGTTTACATTGCTACCATGTTCATTTGGCACTTACAAACATCTGAAGCATACAGGCAAATAAACAGTACTCTTTTTCTTAAAACATCCAATTTTCCTTATATTACAAATTTTGTGACCCATGATCAAATTACAAGGTACATTATTGGAATATCACAATTCACAAGATTATCCAGTAAATCTTGTATCAGAGAAAAAAACAATGCTATTCATTGCATAACACAAATTCGCAATGCTTGGAGATATGACAACACTTAATAATTGACATTAAGTTACAAATTCGCTGTCGCACATCAGTGTGTCACAGCCCGCAGGTTTAGAGACAACAAACTAGAAAGGTCAGGGCAACGAGTTATGTGAAAAACTTCTCATGCTTGTATATGCATAATATATTAGAAATAGGCAATATCGTAACATCATATCTGTGAAATAATTTAGAAAGAAACACAAATTTTCACTACAATTTTGCTACCATGGTTGCAACCAAATTTCTGTGTGTATCATTTTTTCAACGGGCAAAAGGAAGATGTAGACAAAACGATACTACCTTGTATTGTTCATCATCAGGATAAGTCCAAGAATACAATTTTCCTTGTCTCAGAGCACACCATCTTCTATGCCATGCACCCAGACCTCCAACATCATCAAACATCGTCTGAAAATCATCAATACAAAGTGAAAATAAATTGTCCAGATTTCACGATGTTGGTTTTGGCTTATTTACTCAGTAATATTTTTCATTAAATGCTTCCAAACAACTTTTGCATGCATGGTCTTTATACACGATTCAGCATTGTCAACTGTAACGTTATACCAGAACTACTATATTAATGGCAACTTCAATATAGGTTTTTTTTACTGAAATGTCAGTATGTCTTTTGTTGTGAATATTCAGCATTTGATGGGTCACCAAAATAACACCACAGATTACTTCATAGTCCTTGAGTCAGTGGTTCGCCATCCCTGCTGTTCACATTGACAACACTTTCAGGAAACTTGAATTGATTTATTACCAGGATTATGCAGTTCCAAGAACTTGAAGAGCAGAAATTGTTATCAGTACCCAATTAGTATACTGCATTCATTACTAATATACTGATAATACAATGTCAGAAATCCATTTTACCCGATACAAAACATGTTTATTTCTTACCAAAAATCCTCTTTGTGAGATGCTTGATTCGAAGTTGGATGAAAACTTGCACAAAATTTGACCAGATATTGGTGAAAGAAAAGGAACCTGAAACGCACAAAAAAAAAAAAATATTCCACCAAACAAACCAAAATCAGGAGAAAATGGCTAGAGAATACAATTGAGAAAAACATGTGTAAAAAAGAATTCTCACAATCCCTTTTGTGTTAGTAGCCTGAGCTATTTGTAAAAAATCAGAACAATTGTCACAGTTTACCAAGGCTCATGTAAACAGTACTTTTGCAATAGTAAATAAATAATACTGAATATGATCAATTTTTCACATTTCTCCTTGTAACCTTCTGCCATTAATTATGGTTACGAGATAATTAACGCCCCATCTTGACTTACCATATTCAGCTATACAGTTCCAAGAGGCAATAAAATAGAATGTGGATGTATTAATAATCAATTTTGTCATATTATTTGAGCATGCCAATTTTCTAAGAAAAAGTGATTCTAAGACTAATAATTGTATGTAAAACAATCATTTTTAATCATAATTTGGTTAGAGGCATCATACGACAAATGCCAAAATCTGAATGCTTGTTATTTTCATACTTAGGTTACATAAAATTATGCATGTGTAATTCATAGCATCAAGTCACTTCAATAATCGATCGCAAGTATTTTCTCTACTTTACTCACAAATTTCTTCAGGAAGAATTATTTAACGAGGTAGACAATAAAAAAGATTTTAAAAAACTGCTAACCTTTTGTAAAGCAAATTTTCTTCCAGTTATTGCTCCTAAAGTGATAGTTGTGCTTCCAATAAGAGAGAAATTACTGATACGAATGGCATTTGGGCCACCAGGACTCATCATGGAAGGCATGTGTGATGTACGTTTGGAAGTTCTCAGCTTCTTTGGTGTGAGAGACTGCAATAAACATTATGTTGATTACAACAGGAATTTATTGGCACATAAAATTTGATATACACAATCACAAATACACAAAAATAGAATAAATATTCACATTGACTTGAAATTAATTCTATTCGAGTTTAAGATTCTTGATATTAGGAATCATTTAAAATAGTTTCATTTGAAAATAAAACAGCAAAGAGTCAATAAAGTTAACATTTACTTGAACTTGCTTGTGTTTCCCAATTCAGACACCTCATTGTCTACTTGTACATGACCGACCATAGATACAATCGAACAGGACCAAATTTAGAAAATATTTGGTATTCCATATTTGGGAAAATATTTATGGAATGTATTAAGAACGGCAGACCACCTTTAATAACGTCTGAGAATTTTAGCTCAAACAAGTCAATATTTAACATATTGAAGTTTTTCAATTTGAAAATTATTAGGATATGTGTAGCATATCGATGAATTGTAATCCAAAAATTAATACATATAATACTAATTTTGCATTGATAAAGAGATGATACCCAGTAATATGAATGTAACAATACTAAACTGAACCATCGCAAAGTCGACAGCCCTAGACCTCCCCCCTTGCATCTTTTTATATTATACAAATACATTCATATTTAAGACCTTGTCTGTATCAAAGCTGTTCTTGCTGTCTGTTTGTTGCTTTTGAGTATTTTTTGAAGAGGTAGCTGCTTTCTTAACCTTATTTCTAGTTTTCTCAACTGCCTCTGACAATAATCTCTTCATGTCACCTGATCTTCGCTGTTCATTTAAATTATTTTAGCATTGGAAGTGTAAAGTGATGTTTTTTAAGGTTTTGTGCAATAATTGTTGAATGAATTTAGAATATCAAACCATCTGCATAGCAGTGTGTTAAATATAATAAAAGACTTGAGATTTTCTGGCTTTTAAATAATACAATTGAAACTCTTCTCCACTTACTAAACTGTCTAGGTAATTATTAGACAACCAAGCCACGGGTCGGACCAGAAAACGTTTCAGAGTAAAGATTAGTATGTTGTACTCAAATTAAGAAGAACAAAGGACATACTTTGTGTAAAATACCAGACAACTTTCCTTTTGCTTTATCTTGTACAGGAATTCCATCAGCACGAGTTCTGTGGTTCTGTAAAAATGTTGAAGTAAACAAAACAATAAATATAGTTGGATTTTACAAAATTGATATGTTGCATGCAAGTACTTACCAGGCTATATACTTCTAGCACAATTTTGAAGTCACTCGATAAATTTCCACTAAATATAAAATATATATAAGTATGAATGGATGATTATCATATGTGTGAATCACATTGGAATAAAGATAATTATAACGAAATAATGGCTCGAAAAAACACCGGTAGATTTCTAGTATATACTTGAGGATGTCAACAAAGAATATAGGTAAATGAAAATTAATGCTATATACAGGGTGTTCATAAAGTCCTGCTACAATTTCAGTTTTAATATAGAGTTGGTTCTAAGTAGCGTAACCAGGTTATTTTTTTAACAGTGTTTATTTAAGTTGAACTTTTTATTACTTCATTCAATACCCATGTAGGAACCAAAATTATAGATAGTATTGTTAAATTCCCTCTTGTAATTAAAAAACTTGAAAGACTTCATGGAAGTTTTCATGGTATTTTTCGTAATAATATTTCCCTTTTCAAGGTTTGTTATTCAAGTATGAAGATTTCTATTAATTTAGTGTCTAACTATTTGACCAGTATGGTAGTACGATACTTACATTGTGAAATCATCTTTAAATACAAGTGAATCTCCAGACAAATCACCCAAAGTAGAAGCAAGTTGTGTTGCAAACATTTGATGACCATTTCTCACAAGAACAAAGTAATAGTGGTTTCGTAGTTCACCTAAAACAAGATTAAATTTATTTCCGAATCTAATATTATCTAAGATAAGAGTGTGTAAGACAGAAAGTCATATAATAACAGATTTATTAAAATGAATATTTTCATCATGTTCTATTTTAAGTCTTATTTTGACGTCTGATACCTCAAACAGGTATTTATATCAATAGTATATTTAATACAAATTTTTATCAATTCTTCACAAAATTTATGATAGTTCTATGAATAAAATTAATGACACAAAAACTCTTGATTTAATCAAATTTTGTAAATTTTTAACCAAGCGTAGACGCCTTGATAATGAGTAATGACAGTAATCAATTATTGATTAAACTATTAAAGAACTGTTAAAAATCTTGTAAAATTCAACTCAAAAAAAAAAAATGTGAACTTTAAGTATTGTTTACTTAATAAAATAGAAATTAAAAAAATAATGAAACTTGACATGAAAAAGAACATCATTTTGCATCTGAAGTAATTAAAATACTGATTAATCCATCAAAAAGAACTACGAAAAAAAAATTAATCAAATTAGACTTGATAATTCCTACTAACCTGCATCTCTTTTATTAGCAATTGAGAAAATATATTCAGTTCTGAGTGGGAGACGTAAACCCCCAACAACGAGGACTCCAGAACATGGTTTAAAATTTGATTCATCTCTTCCGCTTGTTCTTTTTTGTTTCAGTTGTTGAATTTCAGCCAATAAAGCCAGACGACGTTCACCTGGAATATATAATTATAGATATCAGGGATTTCCAAATTTACTTTAACTTAACAGCAGGATATAGCAGATCAATATTTTTGTCATTTTTATTGTTTTTCATCAGAGATTCCCAATTTACCTTTTTTCATACAGGTTGTGAAGCATTGTCAAAAACAGTTGACTTTGTTAACATTAAATTACATTGTGGAAAAAATGTGCAACACACACACATTTATTCAACGCGAGACGTATGCTTGTTTTTGTACTTATAAAAGAGCATAACATGACCGAATGTACCTAACCCCAAATCTATATTTACCATTAAAATATGATGCACTTAAAACGACGACACACAGTCTGGGAACCACTGTTATAGATAATAAATATTGTTGACCATAACCTACAGCTCCATAAAATCAATAGATAGTGTTAAAATATGGGAATTATGGAAGGTACAATATAGCCCCAAAAATAGATTCAATAACTTGTTCAATTTCTTCTACAAAAATGAAGAAAATTTATTTAACACTTCAACCCTCTTTTGTTTGATCATACTCAGAGGCTTCAGTAATATATATACATATATCGTTTTGCAAAAAAGATAGGTCCTCTCTAGAATATGTTCCTGGGTTCAGCTTTTTTTACCCTGTATTTATTGGGTAATACCATGCTCTTCAATACCATTTTACCAATTGCGAGTAAGAAACAACTTACTTGTAATTAGCAAGAGTTTCTCAGCTTCAACTTCTGTGATAGTTCCTTTTCCATGATGGGCATCATAACAACAATTCAATGCAGCACTAGCTTGCTGTATAACACGCTGTTGTGCGCTTACTTGTGCCATCATGTCGGAAATGATTTCCTATCAATTGTAGATAAAAATATCAGATTTCGAAAATGATGTTTATATATTATAACTGCGCTGTCGAGACCACTAATAAAGGATAGAGCCACGTCAATATTATACTAATTAAAAAGATTAATGAAGACGAAAAATTTTAATTTACCTCAATGATATATAGAAATAAATTAAATAAGATTAAGTTTATATCCGCATAAGTTAAAGGGAATTTTTCAAACCTTAATATGTAACTATGCTGTCGGGCCACCAATAAAGGATAAAGCCATGTCATTATTAACAATTCGAAAGATTAATATAAGATGAAAAATTGAAATTTATTTCAATAAAATTGTGAAATACATTAATTAGTATTAAGAAGTTGGAAACTGCATAAAGCAATTTTTTAAACAAAATTATGTGTGGAACAAAATATTCATTATTGACTTTGCAACATTCTAAAAAAAACGCATAAAACTACTACACGTTTAATGGGTTGACAGTTAATACTTGACTAATCCAGTTATGAAACATAGAAGGAAATCACAAAAATATAATTTCAAGAAATTTCATTTATAGTCCCACTACATAATAGATTATAACCCATCATAAAAATCATATAGACAAAATAGAAATAAGTCTTAATATTTGATTGGAAAACATAATTGAACCAATTTGAAGAATTGGAAAAATATTGGAAAAACAGTTACCAAAGTACACCACGTATAGTGGGTTCAAAAATTTTATCCCTTTTGCGTTTCTAAATTTTTCCTAAAATCTACACTGATTTAAAAACTGGAAAAAATAACTTACATTGACTGGCCGCTTGTCCGGAGCTTGCTTTTTTATCATGGCTGCTTTAGCATTGGCCGCTTCATTCCTGACAACTCTTTTGTCGACCCTAAATCGTAACATAATCTTACTCTCAAGTGTCAATCGGTAAAAACTGAACTACTTTTTGTAAAATAATGAGTTTGCAATATGATACTTCCATTTAGCTAAAATTTAAATTTCTGACTAAAAAATGCGTAACCGATCGATTGATAAATAATTACTGCAACAAAATTTTTGTGTTAATTTCTAAAAAAGGAAAATGCATATTTATGACATCATTGATTGATATTTGTTTTTCATAGAAAGTACGAAAGCATTTAACGAACAATAATGTTCAATTGATGACGATAAAAACTAATATTATAATTGATGACGCTTAATACATATCTACCTATATTAAAGGTCGTATAATTAATCGATCCGAAAACGAAACATCAATAAAAAAAGAATATGATCTTTATTACAGGAAGGTATAACGTAATATGATATTATATTACAAAGCAGAAAATTATATTTGACTACTGATTCAATAACTGTATACATATTCTTTGTACAGATTGGAATTGGAAATAAAAATAATGACACAAGATCATTATACATTGGATAAGGATTACATCAAAAAATTGTGGTTAAATTGTTGTTGTTGTTGTGAAAAAATAGCTTTTCTCAACTTATGGACTAATCAAGTTCCCATTTGAACCACCTGAAGAAGTCTATTACTGTTAATATTCTCAAAAATTCTTATAGTTTCTATAGTGCCTGGAATTTCACCTTGGGGAAATTTGAATGAAAGAGAATTTCAAAAATTCCTCGAGTCCTTTACGGCCCGGAAATTTCACCTGAAGGGCATTAATATGGAAGAAAAATATCAACTATTCATAAATTAGCCACTACATTTGCATTGTGGTCATATGTTTAGGTGAGTGCAACAAATAATATTGTGTGTAACTTTGTTCTACATCAGGAGTGTGCAACCTGCGGCCTGCAGGCCAAATGTGGCCCACAAAGAAAACTTGTGCGGCCCGCGGAGAAGCGTCACTTTTTAATGGTGGGCGTCCCGCGAAATTAGTTTTTAATTCAATTTAGTATGTGCGAGCGAGTAATTCCAATTCCTTTGTGTTGCAATGTCTATATCCGAGCTTGGGCAAAGAGAACAACACATGTCACAAGATCAATAACCAAAATTTTTGTGTCTGCAACTACTAGAAAGCCTATCTTAAGTATAGGTACGGCCTGCGATTTCATCCAGTTATTTGCATCTGGCCCTCGTGCATTAAAGGTTGCACACCCCTGTTCGACATAATCAAAACAAATTGCAATATTTATTACAAACAGACGGGACGGACAACAATACAAAACATCCAACAAACCTTCCAATGGACTGTCTTCGTTTTTCTGTGCGATACGAACTAATCGTATAAACAGGGAAATCTTTTTCTTGGCAAAATGAGACAATCGACTCAGTTGAGTTAGACTTGGAGAGACAAGTTCGTTGAAACTTACTCTGCTGTGTAAGAGCATGAGTGTCTTCTGCTTCATTGCAAGTCTGCTTTCGCTATTAAAATAAGCCGAATATGTATTGCTATAACACAGGAGTAAATGATATTAAACGTTTTGGGCAATACCAATATGCCAACATCTTAAAAGTTGGAGAAAATATTTCTCTATTCAATTGAAAAAAAAAATCACATACATTAAATAATTTAAACATGATTGAAGTTAAATATACTTGCGAACAAAAATAATTAAAAACTTAAACTATTACAAAAAGCTGTATTTTGAGAACAAAATTAGGTCTAGTTAAATTGTCCATCTCTGCGATGAAATCATGGATTATTTTAGCCTCGTAATTTTACAGAAAATTAGGAGTATATAAAAAAATAACTTTCTATAAGAAATATCTCTATATAGAATTCAGGGATGCCCAAAACAAATCGAATATTAGAAATTTCAAATAAAACATACAATATCTCAACTGGTGAAAAACCGACCCAGAGAAAGCAATGACCTTTTATTTTTGTATCGTTTTAAATGTGATACACATGAAGATTGAAGACATAGTAATTTATGTAATTTTCCACCTGAAAGAATTCAGAATGAATTCGATATTTCATATTGGAGATTATCTGAATTCTGAAATATTTGGAATATATTCGAAATGGCAAAATATTCGGTTTTGGCAATAGCATTATTCATTATAAATTCAATATTAGATAAAAGTCTTACCACTGTAAGTTCTGATCTTATCTCCAATTTGCTCTTCTGTCTAGTAAGATTCGGAATAGTAATGGGTGAGTGAGTTCGAGGAGGTGGAGTGAGAATCATTTTCTCCTCATCAGATAAAACTCCCTGAAATAAATCATCAATCATTTGACAAGCATCTTCCTTTTCAGTTTTTTCTTCTGAAACTGGATGAAAAATAAAAAGTCATTTAAACAAGATTTTACTGACAAGGTATAGAAATAAAACTTTAATCAAGACAGATCAGGACAACTCGTGGGCCATGGCCTGGTGGTTACAGCTTTGGAATCAAATATGTAGGTGTCTCGAGTCAAAAATCTTGGGTTGAGACTACTTGCCCACCAGCTCACTCTGGTGCAGTGTGGCACGCATGCAATGCCGAACCGGAAAGATTCCAGGCTTTCGAAAATAGTAGCTATTTACATATCAAAAGCTGCTTATACAAGGCCTGATCCTGAACTTCAGAGTTGAGAAGTGAAAATTCCATATATAAAATATAAATGTCAAAATACACAACTGCAACAAGCTGATTTTCTCTTCTTATTTTTCATCATTTATCATTTTCTTTTTCTTCAAGGATCATTTATCATATACTATTTTTTTTGAGGCTCACAACCTCAAATAGCCATACATATAGTAAATCTAAAACCTAGTAAAAACTGGGCCTCTACACTCTGACATGGGCAAACTACGGCCCACAGACCAAATTGTTGAGATTGCGATTAAATTGTTCTAAATATTGTTCATAAAAAGTAACTTTTTACGTAATACTTACATGGCCCGCCCGTCTAAGTGGGCAAAATTTTTGGCCCCTGGTCCAAAAACTTTGCCCACCCTTGCTCTACACTTGAGGTATGATGATATTAAATATTTCCAATTACCAGTTTTGTAACTGCTCTAACTCACTCAATAACACTAATCTCACTTGTTTTTAACTCGCCTGATACGTTGGCTAACTTCTCTTCAATATCTGCCAAAACTTTATATTCAGAACTACTGCAGCAAGCAATTGGTAAAGATGGACTGACTACCTTCTTCTCATCTTTCAATAAGAAATGCAATAACAAAATTTTCATACTTAGTTACAAAGACTATCATTTCATACTTAGTTACAAAGACTATCATTGGTTAAAATAACCTCATTTGATAAACTAAATTATTTCTAACAATATAATAAAGCAGGGCCCTCAGCCCCCAGGGCCACAAGCTGGTTCTCTGAGGGCCACGAGCAAAGAACCATTCATGACGACATTAATCCAAGTAAATCAATTTATTTGTATGATTTATCGACCATATTCCATTTGTTCTTCTACATTTGTTTGTTGGGTTTTTATTATCAAAGTTGCAAATCAACTAAACGATAGAAAACCATAAAAAATAAAACTTAATTTTTGTATTGAAGGGGGGCACTGATCATGATAGTTTACAATGATAAATATAACAGGTTGTGAGTCATGGAAAGAGATTTTAGTATGAACAAACGGATATAATTACGGTAACTAATATTGCAACATGTTAATGATTGAATCTAGATTTAATAAGGTAAATTACTCAATCTTGTGTGAGTCATAACTTAGGCAACAATGGACAAAACATATATTAATAAAAAATTTTCATTGCTCAGTCTCAGATGGTTACCTGCCGAAGCATCCTTTTCGTTAACAGTGCTATCTTCATCTTCATCTAAGAGAGAATCACTGTAACTTAATTCTTGACCATCTTCATCTTCCTCCTCATCCTGATCATCATCTTCCATCACAAGTTTTTCGCAAGCTGATGTGTAGACTTCTTCATCACATTGACCTCTGTAATATTATTGAAACATAAGTCTCAAAGGATGGTATATTTGTTCATAGTTCACAACAGGAATATTGAATATATTTTATTTGCAAGAATGTTGCCCTAGTCACTAGTGATTGAAGTGCTAGACTTAACTATGATAGCATTTTAGGTTGATTCAAATCCCATGTTTATAAATTGGATAGCCTAGCAGTGACTGCTTGTGCAATGCCTTGTTCAGAGTGAATGTGTTGGCCACAAACAAACCTTAACTAGGTATCATTTGCTACATTAATTTAGAGTTAAATTGACTGTAATGCGCATTTATTTTTTAATAGTAAACATAGCAAATAAAATATAGAAAACTAAGGTATTTTTATAAAAAAGCAGGATTCTGCAAGAACAAATGTTGAAGAGTCTTAGAAGCGGGCCACCCCACATGTCATGGAAGTTTAAGAAATACTGGTGAATCTTTTAGAAATGTACCAAGATGGCGTAAAACTCACAATTTGACTATGCGATTAGTTTATAAAAATGATTTGCTTTCAGGTATCAATTATCATGTTAGTCATCAACTTATTACTAATAATGAAACTAATATTACACTATAATTGATTTTCACATTCTATATTCATTCAGTATCACACAGGCAACATACTCGTATATGCAAATAGCAGGAATCTGCAAATATTGCTCAAGAAATTGAAGGAAACAAAAAAGATTAAATACCAGTAAAAACTGGTGTAAATTGCAAATGATGCTAACCTTGTTACAATTAGTTGTTCAATTGGAATGACAATAGTCATAGTTTTTTCTATATTCAGAACAACACAACACCGATATATTCGCTGCATTGAAACACCGTCACATTGGAATTAAGAAAACTGTTGTCAAAAGCATATCATTTCATATTTACTATATGTGCTAATATGTGAAGAATATAAGTTTTTCCACTAATTTTAATAAAGAAACTGTCCCTTCCTGTGCAACAATGTCAGTACATAGGAAATTAAGTTTGCCTATATATTTTCATGAAAGACACTTCCTGTTTTGTAAGTATGTATGTATGTATGTGCTTCACAATAATTTGGGTTTACTCAAGCTTATTAATAAAATCCAACCTGGTACTTGATTAAATAATGTTGTTTTTTTCATAATGAAATCATGATTTATATAAAAATTCAACTGAATGAAAGGCTACAACCTACAAGTCAAATTTATTCTTAATATTCAAATTGAAACTTTACAGAAATTAACTAGAATAACAAACTATTGAAACCTTCCTTGACCTTTCTTTTTAACCAAACTCTCAACACTGAAACTCTTACAGCTAAGCATTGTAAGTTGTAACTGAGCTGTAACACCAATACATTTACCTATATTCATTATGCAAAGGTAATCTTAATCCTAGGTTAAATATAAATGCTCAGTGATTATATGTTTTTATACTTGTGCAGATTATCATGGATAATCCAGACTGCATGAAAATATTTCTAAGCTTGTAGTGAATAAGGTTTTGATTAAAAAGACTTTACCTTTATTTTCATACTAACTAACTAGGCAATTGAAACAATGTCAATGACAAACTCCATATTTCTCCTCCTCAATTGTCAATTTTATCAAACATACACCAACAATATTATATTCTTGTTCATGCATGCTGCTGCTAAACTGAATGCCATTCAAAATTCCATATCAAAAATTAGTTATGCACAAAGAATTCTTTGAAAAAATTAGCATACAGTTCTAGGATGCAATTACAATGGTCATAACAGTGAAACTTTGAGAACTGCAAATTTCAAGACCATTCTTTGTTACTTCTTTCACTATTTTCTATTTCTAACACTATCTTCCAATATATATCATAAATTGGGTTATTTAACTTCTTTCAGATTGTACAGTACCAAAGTAAAAATTTACTATTTTAATAATCTTCAGCTAATGAACTGAAAATACTCAAGTTCAGTAAAAATTCAAAACTCTGTTTTCCACATTTCTCTATATAAAATATCGATAATAAAAATTCCTATTTCTGATGAAGCATTCATTCCCTGAACTATATCCTTGAATTTGGTGATTGATTATAAATTTCCAAATTCTAAAATTCCCTCGTATACAGGTCAAAAGGATGGAATTGATCTTACGATTCGTTGGAACGTGACATTCAAGTATCCTTGGGCTTTAGTACTTAAACTAAGCTGATCAATATGAACCATGCCTGCTGCTGCTAAACTACAGCCGGGATGACAATATATCTGAATATTGTATTCAACATAGTCATTATTACCGTACTTATTATGATTACTCATTATGATAAGTTGAGACATAAGTTAATACATTTTGGGGAAGACCAAAGTATTTCATTGCAACAAAATTGAAAATTGATCATATCAAGAGAATTAGCTAAAAGCAAGGTCAAGCAATTTTACTTTAAGAGAATCATCTCTGGTCAAAGACTACCGACAATCATAATGTCAAGTGCTACCGAAACTATTAAGATTTATGGTGGTGCAATACTCAACACAACAAATGCCAATTGTCTGAGACCTGAAGTTCAAGGTATTATCTGTTATAATCAGCAAAGCAGGTATGAGATAGTGGATGCCAAAAACTGAAATCATTGAAAAATTTTTGGGCATAAAAATTTCTTTGCCTGAAAGAAAAACATATAATAAACAGTAATGACTTTGCAGCAAATTGTTCATTTCAGCTTTAAAATTGATTTATGAAGTAAATTATACAAAGATTCACAATTGATACCTGCTGTCATTATTATCATCTTCCAAGTATGATCCGTTTTGTTTTAATTCAGTCTGATCATCACATTGTTCTGTAGAATCCATGTCTTTTATTTGCTCTTTATCATTTTCACAAACTCCCATAATATCGTCGTTATCGTCAACATCATCCAAATTTTCAGCACTAGCTTTTTCAACTGTCGGCGAGGCAGGTTTTATTTCCTCATCGCATTTATTTTGGGCCTAAAGAATAATTTTAACAATAAATTAGTTACTGCATTGCGAATATAATTTGTTTCAACAGGTGGCATAACATGTTATGCAAAGAAGATAAACCGTAATGAAATTAATCAGTTCTTGCTAAAGTATGCAATTGATTACATTACTTCACTGTTGCTATTTTCGAGACAATATATTAGGTATTCTATTCAGTGAAAAATGAGTCTCCATTATTTCTGAGTGAAATCACGCGAACTTGCTTTAAACAGCTCTTAAATAAAGGTATGCGATATGTATGCAAATTTACATTACTTATTTACAACTATGCTGCATGTTATACAAGAGTGCATTCGAATAAATAATCTCAATTCCCAATATTATTTCCTGAACTACATTTATTCTAAAGTTGAACACTCGTATAACAAGCTTACTCCAAAAAAGATACTACTGTATAGGTGACTAGTTCATCTGACAATCGTGAATGTCACTGTCTATGTTCATTCCCTTCAAGGAAAAAAAAGACCTGATGCGACACTACTTGTGTATTAATTGATCCATTAATCGTGCAAAAAATATATTAAACACGTCACATGATCAATATTATTAGGATTAAGTTTTTTCCTTGCGGATTTATTTTGTGTATTAAATGGATGCCATGTTTGGTCGACTGTGACCTTCTACGTGTCATAATAATCAATCATTGACAATCAATTATGATTAGGCAGTATTAATAAAAACCTAAATATATTATCTGACTAAATTTGATATTTCATGAAACGAAAAATAGTTAGGTTGTTCGTGTCTAGGTAGTAGAGTAAGAAACTATAGGTGATTAAAGAAGACATTATTGAATTTCAAAGTAGCTGAATATCGACAAATTAATATACTGAAAACAAAATTATTCTTTTTTTTTTAATATTAGATATCGTATATCAAAGCATATTTGAAACAAAATACTGAATTGATTATTCCCAATCATTATTTGAAATAAATAGTACTGTATATTTTAGTATTATAAATTCTTTCACACCAAAGTACTTGTTATGCTCCAGAGACAATTAGATTCAAAAATCATTAACACTCTACAATCTACATATTTCAATCAGTGCTGCAACTTACAAGCTCAACTAAAAGTGTAGATAATATTTAAAAAATTGTCAAATCATACCAATCCGTGGATTTTCATTCCATGTACTTTTCTATTTCTTAATTCTTCCAATTCTTTTTCTCTCTCAGCTCTCGCTCTCTCCATAATCAAATTTGCAGAACTTGTGTTCATTGCACTGATATCAGCTTCAGTTATTCCGTTACTCTGTGTGTAAAGTTACAACAATTAATTGCATAATAAAAGAATAAGTCTACAAGTTGAAGTGCATATCCTTTAATTACATGATAGGTCTTTATTTCAATATACCGGTAAGTAAATCTACATTTTACCATTCTTGAATATTCTTTTTAGGAATATGTTCAAGTTTAACTAAAATTTGTTAGAGATGATTATACGACTCAACTCCTAAATATCCTTAATTAACAATTCATTTTAAAGCTTGGGTTGTAATCCCTTGCGCACTGCCTCATTCAGGGTGTAATAAATTAGGTAGTCAATGCCGAACCAGAAAGATTCAAGTCCTTCCAAAACAAAGTAGCTTCTTACATTGTGGTGCAGAGCCATGTTTGGAGGGGAAGGCATATAAATACGCCATAAAAAAAATTTCAAATATCCCTTATTAGGTTTTTTCTATTTATTATTTGCTTTTACACTCACCTGTAAATCCAGCATTCTTTGCTGCAATGTTTTTGAGCCGTGGGTTGTCTGCTGTCCAGATGCATGTGCACTGTTCACAATTAACGATTGTTTATTTGTTTGCAAAACAGTTTTAGCATTGCCACTTATCCTAAATAAAAGAAAGTTCTAAATATTTACAAACAAATAGAAATGAATGGGTGCTCCTGAAGTATGCGAACCAAGATGGCGGACATCGAAACGTAGCATGGGGAACAGGTTAGGGTTAGGCCATAATTTTATTCCAATTTCCCTTATTTTAGTCCTACTATGAGTTCGAAGACTAGCCAAGTGCCTCTCGTAGTATTTGTACCTAAAACTATGGCCTAACCCTAACCTAGTACACATATTACATTCCGATGTCCGCCATCTTGGTTCGCATACTTCAGGAGCCCCAATGAATGTATCTGATGAGGTAATTAATATTTAAATGGGTGTGGCATAGTCCTACAGAGCTTCGTCTATAACAAATTTCATCCATCTATATTTACCTGGAAAATGTACCGAAGAGAATTCATGTTCTATCAGAAATAATATCTTCTCAAGTATCAGTGGCTTACCTACCCAGAATCAAGATGTGAAAAGGTCACATAAAAAATAAATTTTGATTTCTTGGTAAATAATACCTGATTGCAAAATCATGACAGACTATGAAGCTTAATCGATAAATCGAATAAGAGATTAATAAAATACACAATGACACAGCCACAATCTCTTTTTAAAATGCAACTTTAGATACGGCTGAGCATTTCGAATTGAATACTAGAACCGAATATTAAATTTTCAAATCGGTGAAGATGAAAATTTTCAACCGACGCCAACTTGTTTTAGGGTGAATCATTCAATTTTTATTTTCAAGCCATATCTTTGATAAACAATTCTGACATATGACACTTTTCTTCCTAGTTAGTTATTGATGGAACATGTTTCTTATTGTGCACAATACCTCAGCAAACTGACTGAATGATGCATTCTATGTTTTTAGTAATTTATGTATTTGGAGGACCCATTACAATAAAAAAATCACATTCAATTACATGACTTCCAAGTAGTTGAGATTCAATTCGAAAAATAAATTCGTTTCAATTTTGAAGTCATCACTCATCATGTATTTGAAAATGCCCAGTTCTACTTACGATATAACAGACTTGTTTTGTTGTGATTTAGCTGGACTTCTCCTTTCTGCTGCTTTACCAACTACAGCAAACTTTGCAAGGCTTTCAATATCCAGATCTCCAGAAGTTTGTCTCACAACCCTGGCTGTAGTATCAACAGGTGCTGAGGCCTTCTGTGGTTGTACCTTTTCAACCTTAAACAATAGTATATCAGAGATATTAATTCAAATGGCTAACACCAACAGCTGGACATTTTAGAACACGGATCAAAGAATATAGGTAATTAGTAATGAGAGAGACGAGAGAGGTTTTAGGACTTTAATTGACCATCTATCCTTGTGTTTTTGCTGAATGTACCTCTTCCACATATACATGATTTTGTATGTATGTATACACAATGACTTATTTCAATCCATTTTTAATGTTGCCAATAAGCGCTGGGTCTAAAGAGTCAGAAAAAATTTACAATCAATTTCGTTTCTTGACTTGGGTTATTAAGAAGAATGTTGACCCCAAGCCGTAACTCCAGGTCGTGAAATTAACAAAATCATTGGCATATGCAAGCCTTGTATAATAGAATGATAATAATATCTAGTAAACTTGATTTTAAGTTTACGATGGAAATTTTAACCTCTCGTATTATCATTAAAAGTATGCTATTCCAACTCCAAGCAGTTCGAAAATTTGACTCGCACTCCAGTGAAAACATGCCAAACTCCGACTAGCGTTATTGGGTCATTAAATATACATACCACAATACTTTCATCGCTACAACGCTAAAGGGAAAAAATTTCAAAATAATAGTAAAATTGAATACAACTCACAGGAACAGCATTGACTTGTTGTACTCTTCCTGTGGGAGGCTTCCAACGAACAGGTGATTTCTCTGGCCTTAGAAGATAGAAACCATAATAATAGAAAATTAATAATAGAAAATTGAAGTAATCAATTTAGCAATACACAGACTATTATAGACTACTTTTAATCACTTGATTGATTAACTTACGATTTAGGTGGGTCATGATGAGAAATATCATCTTCCCATCCCCTGACACGAGCAGCCAATGCAGCAAGTCTTTTCTTTCTTCCCTGGTGTTCAAGGGATTGTGTTTTCTGTGATTCCGGGGGTGGTGGATGATGAATAACTGGTGATGGTAAGTTTTCATCATCATAGCTGATATCATGCCCTTGTTCTAAAATGAAGATACATAATAGGCGTATTATGTCATCTCTTATTTTATTTACATTAAATAAAAAACAAATATGGGCAGGGGCCTGCCTAGTGGGTAGAGCGATAGACTTAATTATGATGGACGAGGGTATTGCATGTCAAAATCCAATCCATCTCCCCCAGCGTCTAACAAATTGGGGAGGTTAACTCGGTTCTTCTAACTATATTAGCTCCCTACTTGGCAGTGATGATTATACAGAGCCTTGTTCAGAGTAAATGGCGTATGAATATATCCTATAAAAGACAGTAAATGACAAGGGTTCCAAAATTTTTTCCCCCCTCTCTGCGAGTAATAGGTTTGATAAATAATTGTAAGATAGGTTTGGCACAGTCAAGATATAAAATCCATCCAGTTTTGACCAATAATTAACCATAACTTATTTTATTCTAAGAAAAACAGAAGTAAACTTTTATGGCAATTTATATTCATGTTAATAATAATGTTCAATCCAATGGGATTTTCATATTTTCACTAATTGCTTGCTGGTATTGTAAGAAGAATAAGGCTGATATATAACACATAACAAGAATAGCTTTTGGTAAATCACCTTCAGCTTCCCATATCTTTCTTTGATTCAATAGTTTTTGCATTCTCTGATTGACATGATGACCAGATTGTCTGGATTTAGATGTTCTTGACTGAATCACGTCTATTAACACAATAATAAATATAAAGCATAAAATCAGTGAATATCAATTTCGTATGGTATATTGCACAACCTCTATTACCCTCTTATATGAAAGTTCATAATATATTGTACATGATTCTTCTACACAAACTTTTTAAAGTTTTAAATCTTAGCAATTTCTTGCTCCAACTTGTATGCTTGGTGGAGGTGAGTAAAATCAATAATATAACTTTTTGAACGAAATTTACTCAAAGCCGGGTAATGTGCACTCACTCAGCAATTAAGGAGATTTTAAGCAAAGTTACAGGGACAACTTAAACGTCACAAGCTACTATTGCTTAGAAACTATAGAGTATAATTTTATGTTAGTAAATCCAGAATGACCCGGGACTTATTAAACAGTTCATGTCAATGTGATCAGGAAAACAGCTATGAATTAGTGAATTCGACCTAACCGAAGTTTTTGGAAAAACTTTTGGGCATAAAATTTTTTGGTTCGGTAGGTACACTGACTGTGGAACGGTGTGAGTTCATACCAAGAACTGATTTTATTAAATTTGGATAAATGAGTGGATAGAAATTTCAAGAAACAAACCAGAGTCCGATGAGCTTCTTTGTTGTAAAATGTTTTCGCTGTCTTCACAATCGGTTCGAGTTCTTTTATTTGGTGACTCTAAATTGTCTGAAATACAATATACTACCATATTAAATATGGAGCGTCAAAAAAACAATCAAGAAAAGGGTTGATCATTTCAACACAATCTCCCTCAAATTTAACTTATACTTACCATTGTTTTTCAACTCTTCTGTCCCAGAGCTCATTTTAATAGCTAAGTTTTCTTCACTATTTTGAGACAGTAACGGCCTTCGTTTTCTTTGAGCTGTGCCTGAATGCTGTTGCATTTTCTGTTGCATCATTTCTTGCCTTGCACGAGTCCGTTCCACCAACCTCTGTTGACAATTACACATAATATTAAATATTTTAACAATTTTTAATATTTACTTTGTTATACAACTTATATTTACTTGCATTATACATATTGAATGTCAAGCAAAATTATACAAATTAAAAAAACTCAGGCAAATGTCGTCTCACATATCAGCATATAGCCTACAGATATACCATACACAATAGGGCACAGTTCTTCGATTCTAATATGTCCTGACATTCGGTTCAATGAAACAAACCCTCTATTTGTCTCTGAAACAAGGGCGTCTGCCATGAAGAGAGATCATAAGATCGTGCCATGCTTGTCTTAATAATAATTTAAATCATTGGCACTGTGTGCCGGCCGGCATGTGATCAAAATTGCGATTTTTTGCTAAATGAAAATACGCATTCAATGCATACATACAATATCAACGAAATTTAGAAATGTGAATAAAGGCACAAAGTGGTATAACGTCAGCAATCCGACATTGCTAACACTACAACAGATTCCAGTTTCTTCAGTAGATTGTATCTGTATTTGTAGAAAATGAGCAGAATATGTCACTTGAGCAAATAAAAGTGTCAAATAGAGAATATTGATGTTTCATTGTCATTGGAGCACTGAAAAACCGAAATTACACCCGTATGTCGCCGTAGAATATGCGACATAGCGGACAACCCACTAGTCTTCCAGTAGTCGAGTTGTCCATAAGCAGATATGCCAATTTTTTTTCCTGCTGCAAATCAAATTATTATTTTCAGAGCAATCCAATGGTGACGTTTTTAGATCAGTAGATTGCGCTTCCTTTTCGCTTATTGCGCAGTTGATTTGTGGCATTATGGAGGCCCAGACTGTCTCGTAAATGAGGGGTTGGAACTTGGAACTCACTGTTATAATCGATGTCTTACAGTCTTATCTTTTAATATGGCAGTATGAGAATACCGTAAAACCGGCTAACTTCGGATGCCTTGTAACTTCGGATGAAATTTTCAATCATTCATATCTCAACTAAATTTCGTCGTATTGCGCTTCTGTCGGTTTCTATAGTAAGGCCTTACATATCTGAATCTGCCGTAGCCTCCAATCGCTCGATTTGATTTTTTATCATTCAAAAAATCATATTTTACCAAAAAAATGACACCGTTTTTTCGAGCGGCTCAAATCGTGACTTCTACAGACGCTACCTTCGTCAAATCACCGCCAAGCGCTAGAGAGCGTACACAATGTATACAAAAAAATACAGTGATCACAAGGTGTCGTACGAGATTCGAGTGAAATCGATTATTTTGATTTAAAAATTACATCAAAATATCGACGTTTTGATGATTACTTACAGCGTGACGTCAACGACGCAAATCCCGTTCTCTCTCTTCGTAGCCGACGTCACTTTGCGTAGCTCGTGCGTTACTCGCTGCGACATTTGAACGCCAGACATCGCGGCGCCCAGTTTTGTGAAATTTAAAAATTATGCTTATCCATGATCCTAGTCACTAAATCCTACAAAAACATCACTATCGTCTCAGTCATATGTTGTTTATTTAAAATATGGGTATGCATACGCTTAATGCATATGAAATTTGTCGATTTTTGTTTTTGCATACTTCCTCCGACACCGATAGATACCGTAGCAATTGGTAATACGTTAGGCCTGAAACATGTATCTATACGATCATAATGATTAGATATGTCTGTTTACGATCGGCAGATGATAATAATATCTTTAACAGGTGAGCGTAGAACTCTACATACATGCACACAGCAGGAGGTTGGACCAAATACAGGTGAGGCGCAAAATGAAAAAAAGTGGCAAAGTTTCTTTTTGCCGTTTTTATCCGTTTATTGTCATTTGACTTTATTAAGTGAAACGAAAGCGAGGATCGAAAGTCACACCGGGCAGGAACCTCTGCGGAGTCGATCAACGGGGAGCTCCGAGAAAATCAGAAAATATGAAAAGTGATAATCAAGACGAAACCTGCTCTGCTTGTGGATTATGGAATGATCCAAATGGAAGTACGGAAATTAAGGATGAATGGGTCGGCTGCGAAAGCTGCAGCGAAACACATTGGTTCCACAAGAACTGTTGCAAAGACCCGTCTAACCCATGTGGAAATGATTACAATTCTTGATTTTGCCAGCGTTTCCTTCAATTCATCTGTTTATTTTTAACTGTCGAATTTTTGTTCATACCTTACTTGTTCCATATTGCTTTTTGATTTCAATTTTTACTTTTGCCAGTGTTTCATTCGATTCATCCGTTTATTTTTAATTGTCTAATTTTTGTTCATTCTTTACTTGTTCCATATTGCATTTCAATTTCAACCTACACCAGTTTTAGGTACTTTCAATTCTTCCGTTTTTTTTTTTGTTAATGCTTTTCTTGCATTGAAAATAAACGATCATAAAAGAACGAACTAGCATTTTGCAATAAATTAGGAGTAGTTAGTGAAATATATATGAGTTATAATAAAGGACACAAGAATAAATAGTTAAGCTTCGCGAAGCGGCAAGAGTAACGTCACGTAGTAACGTCACGTACAAACGTCAGTATTCAACACGCAAGACAGGTCGTGGCGGCGTAAGGTCTATTCAGCGACGTTGTCACGCGTCATTGCTTACGCAGACATTTCTCTCTTACGACGAGTTGACGCAAAGAGAAAAGTGGCCATCCGAAGTTAGATAATTTTAGAATAGACGAATAAAGACAATAATTTCAACGAAAAAAGGCTTTGATGGATATGGAACCGACTTTATCAAGACGAGAATCGCCACAATGTATTATATTCCAAATTTGGCTTCAGTTGAACAACATGCGGCGGAGATATTGTTCAAAATATAGTGAAATCATCCGAAGTTAGCCGGTTTTACGGTATTCCTGGAATCGGAGAACTGTGCCATACAGCACATACAGACATAATTTTGTATTCAAGTGCTGAAGTGGCTGAAGTAAAAATAAAATTTCTGAATTTTTATGTACAGAACTAATTCTTTATATTGCTGTTTTACAGTATTAAAGGCTGCTCAACAATAAATGGTAAAATCTTATATTCTCATTAGCCTACAGCCAGACAGAACTACAGAACTAGAATATGTGTGATCAATTCCTAAATTCATCAAATTGCTGAATAGCCAGAAAGCCCCAACATATTACAGTAGGCCTACGGTACTATGGCATTGTTTTCAATTTTTTGTGTTCTGCCATTGCTTCTACAGTTTTATAGGCTATCTATATACTGATATAGGTCTGAACAGTAGTAAACAAACTGCCCAAACAGCTAAAACATAATGATAGGAAAATTTTAGGTTGGAACATCGTCGGTGAGCAATAACTGAATCCTGGAATACGGAACCGTACCGGTACTGGAATATAGGTACCGTACCGGTACTGCAGTACTGTAATATGAATATTGAGTTGCTAAAAACCCTTATTCAAAGACTAAAAGACCTACCAGTAACCGACTTAAAAAAATGCTGTAAAAATATGGGAACGAAAATATCACAATATCGTAGGTAGGACTCCGAAGTCATTCCTGCATTTTGTCTCTTTAAAAAATGCTAATTCAAGCATAGATTATAATAAAAATAAATAGAAATCATACCTGAGTAAAGTCATCCATGTTTTCTGTGACCTCTGATGAAAAGAAAATACTCTTATACTGTAAAATTTCTGGCGAAAAAGGAATTTTATTCTCAGAAATATGAACAGCGCAAAAAGTCCAAAGCAACACGGGCGATTACGCAGAGCTCTGGCTGCGGGATTGTTTGGTCATAAACACTTTTAAACTTCCCGCTACTGCACATGCGCGAGATATGGTTGACTGAGATTTAGGCGGAGGCGTATGTCGCCGATACGATTGATCTCTTATTGGACACGTTTAGTGGACATGACGATCGTTTCAAAATTTTGCTGTTATTGGACACGTAGTGGACATAACGATCGTTTCAATATTATGTTGGTCTTGTTGTTGTTGTTCTTTGACACTTTTTGGACATCTAGTGGAAAATCTAAAAAAACGCTTTTCTCTTTCATTACCGGACCGATTGCTTCGAAATTTTTACTGGTTGAAGATGAAATTTGTCTCCAGGAGGCTATTACTTTTATTTATTTCAAATATTTCTGTTAGCTCTGTGAGATTTGTTTTTGTTTGCTATGACGTCACCGAACGTTCTGCGGACGCATAGCCGACACTCCTCTTCTTTTTGATCACGTGCCATCGAACGTCGATGGTTCGTAACGAAGTCCCTACGGTACTACGATTTTTTCCTTACGCTGTCTTACTACGGTACCGATACTGTACCGTACAGTATTGCAATAATGTTGGTTTTCTTTTCTGCGGGGACGTTACCGTACCGCCTTAGCGAAAGTTGGAAGCCCTACTGTAGGGTACTGATTCGCTTGTTGTGAACATATTTGTAGACTGTGATCTGACGGTACGGTAAACCGTACTGTACTGCGAACAGACGTGTCCATATATTTGGGCGTAGCTCTCTTGTTGTTATTTGTCTCCATAATTTTTAAAAAATCGCTTTTTTCTTCGAATACTGGACCAATTGCTTTGAAATTTTCAATGGTTAAAGATAAAATTTTTCTCCAGAAGGCTATTACTTTTTTTTGGCTATGACGTCATCAAAATTATTGCCATTGGGTGGCGCTACGTGTCCATATACTTGAGCATAGCTCTCTTGTTTAAACTATAAAGAGAAGCTGACATTTATTTCTAAATAATATATATTTTTTTATGAAATAGAAATACAGTTTATTGTATTTTATCTACGTTTGTTTTGAACATATATTAGCTAGAATGCTAGATAGATTGATATTGTATTTAAAACCTTTACCAATAATTTAATCCGCTTGATGGCAATGTTGAGAAAGAACACCACGGGAATGAATTGAAAAATGACTAGATGCTTGGGTCATATGGGTTTAAAATATCGTACTCGATAAAAGTACTTTGTCCAATAGATATACATGTTCATTGCTGTCTCATTTCTAACGAGAATTGCACGCTTGTGATAATGAAGTAACTATAGTGCATTGTGTATTTGCTCTTACAACAATTCATGCTATTATATTTATGTACATTTTTTATTTACTTGTCTTATATCTTGCTTTGACATTTCTCTATAAACAAAATAATTATCATTAAAACAAGAGAGCTACGCACAAATATATGGACACGTCAGACCAGAGCGAATCAGTCCTTACCGGTACATTTGACGCTACCGGTACCCTCAAAAAAGTTCTGAATTTCCAGTAGCAAGAATTTTGCAGAATCAAAACGTACAGCCAGTCATGACACTGACTAAAATCCGTGTTCCCATGGATAAAAAATAATACAGCAAAATTTTAGACGAAATATCAAATTTTATAGAATTCACGCGAAATTTTGAAATAAATATAAGTAATAGCCTTCTAGCGAAAAAACTAATCTTCAACCACTGAAAATTTCAAAGCAATTGGTCCAGTATTCGAAGAGAAAAGCGACTTTTTAAAAACGTGTCAAAGAACAACAACAACAACAACATAATATTGAAACGATCGTTATGTCCACTACGTGTCCAATTATAAAATTATGCTGAAATAATGCTTGTTTGGCCTTACTCCGGTCGAATTTGATAACATTGCCCGAATGATTGATTGTTTTCCTTAACTCAGCAAATCAAAGTAAATTAACGTCAGTTATATCTTCAATGTGTAGCCTACCTGTGCTGTGAAATGAAACATTTCTGCTAATTAATCACACACGCGGTATAAATTATTTGAATTTGTTCATATTTACGGTGTAACTATCCGTTAAATCCCAGTCTGAATGTGGTAACTCTTTGGAATCTCTTTAAATTTTGAAACCCCACTTCACATACACAAATAAAAATGATTTATTCTAGTATTCCTCCTCCTCAATTTTATTCTTTCATTTCTTGATGATAATTTTAAATTCGAGAATGTCCTACCTTTATTGGACACGTTTAGTGGCCATAACGATCGTTTCAATATTATGTTGTTGTTGTTCTTTGACACGTTTTAAAAAGTCGCTTTTCTCTTCGAATACTGGACCAATTGCTTTGAAATTTTCAGTGGTTAAAGATTAATTTTTTCGCTAGAAGGCTATTACTTTTATTTATTTCAAAATTTTGCGTGAATTCTATGAAATTTGATATTTCGTTTAAAATTTTGCTGTATTATTTTTTATCCATGGGAACACGGATTTAGTCAGTGTCGTGACTGGCTGTACGTTTTGATTCTGCAAAATTCTTGCTACTGGAAATTCAGAACTTTTTTGAGGGTACCGGTAGCGTCAAAGGTACCGGTAAGGACTGATTCGCTCTGGTCTAACGTGTCCATATATTTGTGCGTAGCTCTCTTGTATTTAGTCGTCTGAAATTGTGAATTATAAACATAATAGCGTAAAGGGGAGAAATGACTTTGATAACCGTCTGGTCGTATCACTCTCTCCTGTCTATACCAATTTAAATTATTACTTGTTCTCATTTTTATTATTACGATGACTGTTATTGGACACGTAGTGGACATAACGATCGTTTCAATATTATGTTGTTGTTGTTCTTTGACACGTTTTTAAAAAGTCGCCTTTCTCTTCGAATACTGGACCAATTGCTTTGAAATTTTCAGTGGTTAAAGATAAAAATTTTCTCCAGAAGGCTATTACTTTTTTTTTCGCTATGACGTCATCAAAATTATGTGACTCTACGTGTCCATATATTTGAGCATAGCTCTCTTGTTTTATTTTGGTTTATCTCTCTCTCTCCATCTTGCGACGGCTTCACGCACGAATCATTGTGGGTTATAAAACAAACTACTAAAATGAAATATATACATAAAAAGTACTTTGATTTGAGTTTATCTAAATGCCAACGCACTTTTTGAATTGCTGATTTTTCTAATGTCTCCACGAGCTGAATGTCATCTGATTTTATTTTTAAAAGACCGGGTAATGTGTAGAGTTGAAGGGGAAAGTTTCCTAAGATTTTAACAGAACGTGACAATTGCTGCCAAGTTCACTCAGAGGGGACGCGGCGGTTTTACTTCGCATTCACTAGTGGTTGGGCGGACGAGGATTTTGTGGACAGAGGTTTCGAGTGCCAATGCTGTACCTACAGCGACAGGTTTGTCGTAATTTCTAGTTTGAGTTTTGAGAGAAAACTATAGACTAAATTTGATACGATGTTCATGTAACTGACGGTATTGCAGTGTAGTGGTACTGGTACTTGTGCACCAATACCAGCTCAAACCAACCTGTAAACAGACCGTGGTATGTGCTGACTTGAGTTGTTAACTTTTAGGTGCATTTGCCAGGTCGTACAGATCTGCAAAGTGTAGTATTCTGTCTTTGTCTCCGCTGCATGCAATGGGTGAGATAATAAATAATACCCGAATATCAAGCAGAAGGCGCCAATCGCGCCTTGGTTCAGTGCAATAAGCAAATGTATTGCGACGTGACAATTTTCTGATTATAAGTCATGAACTCATGCGACAGTATTCAAATTCGTCTTATATGACCACAATGAATTCCCTCAGTGCAAATGGAAACCAAACAATCGTAGATGTAGGACTGTATATATTATAATTGAAGATTCGCGTGCTGATTATTCGAAACCCATAAATATCATTTGCCACTTTAATTTGAAAAAGTTTGGGGAATTTATTATGCTAAGGGTAAAAGCTAAACATTCAGATAATGACATTTCATGACTTGTCACGGAATGTAACCTAAAATCCGATCCGTGACTAAATCACTAAATTGAATAATACTATAAAAATATGGATCGAACTTATTAGTGCCTTAACACTTCTCTAGTGTCGTCCGTGTTGAATTATTTGTATATTATCATGATAAATTACGGCCCGTTTGCATTGATGACATTGTGGTATGGATGTTGTGAAAAACAACATAGACAATTCAATCTGACACTTGCTATATATATATATAGAAATTTGACCTAATTAAATCGATCCGGTGATGTATTCATACCAAGAATGTGACATAACACCAAACTCTATCCCTTATTTGTCTGACTTAAAATACAATTGCACTTTTGATACGTTAACAATCTACAGAAAATAAACAAAACATGATTTTTCCATTGTACAAAAATATGGAACTTACTAAATTATATATATGTATATATTTATTACATTTTAAACTATATGACAATCACTATTTATTTTCAATTATGGTTTTTCTCGATATTAGTAGGGGAGTATGGGGTACGGGTGTTTGATAAACTCAAAACTTAGAAACGTCTTTACTACTACAATATATATTGAAATAAAAGATTCTAATCCTGTTACGTTGCTTCAAATAAAAATTCTCATCTTCAGATAAATGGAAGTGCCTGTGGTTGGTTAGAAAGTTGATCAAAGTAGAAAAAAATAATTACTAATTTAAAACTCCACTTTTGGATTTCAATGCCTGATCAACGGCATCCGTGTTCATGAAGTTATATCTCAGTTCTCATATCACACCACAAGAAGCGACAGTCGGCACTGTGGTTACATACCGATATTACATTAACAATACAGAACAGGAAAACTGACGTGAAATGCAAATCGGAAAAAAATCCAAAAATTAAACCACATATACAACAAAGTTAACAATCTACAGAAAATAAACAAAACATGATTTTTCCATTGTACAAAAAATATGGAAACTCACTAAATGATATGTATATATTTATTAAATTTCAAACTATATATATGGCTATCACTATTTATTTTCAATTGTGCTTTTTCTCGATATTGGTAGGGAGTATGGGGTAGACTCTCTGGAGCTTTTTAG